TGCAGCTTGTGTTCTGCCTTAGTCAGGGTTGCTATTGCTGTGACAAAACACCATGACCCAAAAGCAAGTTGGGGAGGGAGGGAAGGGTTTACTCAGCTTACACTTTCACATCGTTGTTCAGGAAGTCAGGACAGTGAACCAAACAGGGCAGGAACCTGGAGGCAGAAGATGCAGAGGTCATGGAGGGGCGCCGCTTACCAGCTTGCTTCCCATGGCTTGCTCAGCCTACTTTCTTTTAGAACCCAGAACCACCAACTCAAGAATGAAACTACCCACAATGGGCTGGACCGTCCCCCATCAATCACCAATTAAGAAAATGCCCTACAGCTGAATCTTATGGAGGTTCTTCTCCATTGAGGTTACCTCCTTTCAGATAACTCTAGTTTGTGTGTCAAGTAGACTTAAGACAAACCAGCACACGTTCCAAATCTGAGTCATGTCTTCTAAGGCCATTGAGTGCACTCAGGGATCCTGTGGTTGCCTGGAGCCTGGATGCAAGAGGGAGAAAGGTAATCTAGTGACAGACTATTGCTCCGCCAGACAAGGAAGAGAACTTGGAAGAAGGAGGTGGCTCTAGTTGAGGTGTGATGTCTAGGACCTTTTGGGAAATTTATCTGGAATTAGTGGAAAATGGCTCTTGGTGGATGCCAGTCAGAAGGCCAGTCCTGATAGTCACCTGCTTCATGAGCCTGAGGTAGTAGAGGGGAGAGTTTTCTGTCCTTCACTGATCCTGGCTTCATGCCTGAGACACTCTGACAAAAGACAGATTAGCAAGCTAGGAAGCACCCAGAATTATTTAAAGTTACTAAGTTATGGGAGTCTTCAGTAGAAAACATGAAGAAATGGAGAAGTGTGTGTGTTTTTATGCCGGGTCTGTTGAAATATCTGATTGTGGAGGGGCACAATTGGATAAATGGGGTGTGACCTGATGGTGACAAACTGAGGGAGGAAGACTTAGCCAAGCCTGCTTTGAAATGCTTCAAATGAGAGTGGAGGGAGGAGATCAATGACCTAGGACACTGATCTGCTACAGGGGAGGAGGGGAAGGGGAAAGAGACAGTTGACTTCTGTTGGTTTCTCCATCACCAATGTGCTATATTTGGGAGCAGCGTGCCCTAGCTCCTGTCTCTAGATGATGTTGTCCATAGCTGATAGCTCAGGAAGTTGGGGCTTAGAAAGACCAAGAGGCATGTCCAGGCTCGCTGTGGAGGCTTGCAGGGAGCGAGGAGTCCACTCAGCTCTGTCTTCCCAAGGGTTGCCCTTTGCAATCTGACCCTGGAAGGTGCTATGGGTTGGAACGTGGTATTGAGCCTTCCTAGGAAAGAATGAGCAGAGAGCGAGGGGCCAGGCTGGTCTCTGGAATATTGCCCCTTGCAATGTGGCTGCAGCTAGACTGAGCACAGGCTCCTGTTCATGAGGAGCAGCCTCACACCAGAAGCTTGCACTGACCAGCTCCTAGGAAGCAGAAGTTTGGGCTGGCAGTCCTTCAGGGGGATGACTGCTCTCAGAGCCCAGAGCACACCGCTGGATTTCCTCCCCCACCTAGAGAGTAGAGCTTCGGACTTTGTGCACCAGAAACGGACATTTCAATAGCAGATATAATAAGCCAGGGAGACTTTGAGCTTTGGTGGAGGAGGCTAAGTGGAAGCTCTGGGAAGACCAAGAGTCAGGCTGCAAGTAGGAGCTCACCTTAGGCAGGTGAGCAAAGCCCTGGGAATGGGCAGGTAATAGGGCAAAGGAATTTGACTAACATTTAGTCCCCAGTGTGTCAGGAGCCCAGGCTGAGAGCCCAGGGTCTGGCCTTGGGCTGGGGGATGCATGTTCTGAGCTAGCCCACTGCCCTTCCTTCCCTATTCTCGTTCATTCCTTGCATTTCTTTCTGAGCTGGAGCTTCAAGTCAGTGACTTCAGACCTTCCAGCTGCAGCTCCAGACCTGCTGTCTGGTTGACCAGGCTTTGGGGCATGCTAGCACTGTTGCCAAGGTGACCTGCTTAGGTTAGAGTGGACCAAGACAGAGAAAGGCATTTGGGCTTCCTCCTTCTGTTCAGACCTTTTGGGGGAGTGTGGAGGACTGTTGAGTTTAACATCTGGACTGAGCTGCTGGGAGTCCTTCTCAGAGGCTTGGAGATACAAAGGACACAGGGCACGGAGCTCTGATGCGCACTCATGCGCTGTGCATGCATATCAAGACCTAGGTGGCAGCAGGTGGGAGGCCTGTGCTAGTGAGAGGAGCTGAGGTTCACAACTGGTCCCCTCGGTGTCTGGGGGGCATTTGCTTTAGAGGCCCTTGCCCCCTCTTCTTTAGGTGACCTCAACAGTCTCCTCCTCTTTCCCCTTCCCAGTGGGACCCCCTCCCCGTCTCCTTCCTGCCAGGTGTCACTTCCCTTTGTTTCCTCTGGATGTTTGTGCCCCAAAAGGAACTCCTCCCAGCCATACGCTTTTTCCGTTTCCTCACATTCTTGCAGTTACTGTCTAGGCATTTCTCTGGAGAGTTATACAAATGAAACACGACAACATAAAAAGATGCCAGACATTACAATCAACCCGCACAGGCCTCGTCACACCTACCTGGCTGGCCACCACTGAAAAGACGGACCATAGTGTACCAGAGCAGGCATAGAGAGACTGGAAAGTTGCTGGTGGGCTTGTAAAATGGTGCTTCTCCTCAGGCTCATTGAACAGGCCTGAGGAGGGGAGGAAACAATGCCCTTGCCTGTTTGTGCCTGCTCAAACCTAGCCAAGCCACCCTGGCAGCAGTGGGCCCTAGGCCCAGGCCGACCAGACAACAGGGCTGGTTCCAGCTGAGCCTGGAAGGGCTGCAGCAGATAGCATAATGGTTTCTCCAATGGTCAAACATAGCCCTGTCAGACGACCCAGAAATCCCACCCCGAGACGTACGCCCAAGAGAGCTGCAAACACATGTCACGTGAAACACTGCAATGATGGGGCTCACAATAACCCCAAATGGCCCAAGTATTTATCAGTTGATGAGTGCGCAAACAAAATGTAATCTACACATACAACAGAGTGCCATTCATCCGTAGAAAGGAATGAAGTGCAGACAGATGCTACAATGTTGAGCAGCCTTGAAAATACTATTGAATTTTTCAAAATTAGTAAGAGATGACCGACCACATATTAGATTATTTCATTTATGCAAACTGTCCAGAATAGGAAACCCAGAGAGCCAGGAAGTAGATTGAGGTTTCCAGGAATGGGAAGTGACCGCTTGGTGGTACCCGGCTTCCTGATGTGGGAAGGAAGAGTTTTGGAAGTGGACAGTGGTGATTGCTGTACAGTTTTGTGAATGTACTAAAAATCCATGAATTGAGAGCCTTAAGGGTTTTTATGGTCTGCGAATTACATGTCATATCAGTCATCTTACTAATCGGAGTCACAAATACCTGACCATAAAACGACTTAGGGAAAGGTTTGTTTGGTCTCACAGTCTGAGGGTGCACTCAGTCACCGTGGAGAAGGTACACCTGCGGGGGCCGTGAGGCACCAGGTTGCCTTGCAACCACAGTCAGGAGACAGAGAAGAGAGATGGTCTGGTAGGCCAATTATTTTGCTCCCTTTTTCCATGCTATTCCGTCAGCCCATCGGAGGATGCCACCTCATTCTACATGGCTCCTCCTCAGTTAAACCTCTGGAACCCACCCTCCCAGACACCCTGAAAGACGTGTCTCCCAGGGGATTGCAAATCCCGTTACGTTGACAGTCACAATCCACCGTGATCTGTGTTCCTAGTTCTCAGGGCTGGCGGGATGGCCTAATGGTTAAGGGGATGTACGGCTCTTGCAAAAAGATGTGAGTTCCATCCCTATCACCCACGTCAGGTGGCCCACAAGTGTGTGGAGCTCCAGCTTTAGGGAGTCCAGGGCCTCTGGCCTTTACACGTGTACCTACACACAGGCGGGAGCTGGAGAGATGGCTCAGGGGTTAAGAGTTTGTACTGTTCTTCTGAAGATCCTGAGTTCTTCTCCCAGCACCCACACGGCAGCTCACGATTGTCTGGTGCTGTCTTCTGGTGTGCAGATGTACATGCAGAAAATGTACCTGTATACATAAAATACAGAAATAAATCAATCTTTAAAAAATACTCTTCAGGCTCCGAGGTACTGTGTGTGAGAAGCACAAAACCTTGGCCTGTCTAGGGTCGGGATCTCAGGAGCCCTTTTTGAATTATCTCCCGGGAATGGAGATGGAATCCATAGCATCAGAGGTGTTCTCGGGTCCCCAACAGGCCATGTGAAATGAAGAGAAACTGCAGTCTGTGGTGAGGGGGACATGGAACAGTGGAGGAGGCTTTCCACAGGAAATGGGGGGAAGCTCTGGTCTCTAGCTGAAAGGATGCTTTAGAGTACTGGAGACTGAACTTCTGGGGTTTCCCCCGAGAGCCAGACACAGGAGGTCCCAGGAGATAGTAACAGAAATGTTGCCATGGTTAGTGTGAGAAAGCCACCATGGCAATGAGATCAGGGGTCCCAAACAGTTCTGCCTCCTGGGTCTGTTTGTCTAGGCAACGGGCCTGTGTCATACATTCGCAATAGCCGTGTGCTTTGATATATGACTTGCAGACATGACCGCTTGGCTCCGTGGCTGCATGCATGACGCTGTCCTATGAGAGCAAGGGTATCTGTCTGCAAAAGGGAAAGCTTCTCTCCCTTGGCTTGGACTCGACCTTGCCCCCACCCCTAGCTTAAAGCCTACACAGCTAACACATAATGTGAGGGTGCTTGTTCCAGAGCTTGCGGGGGAGGGCTGTTTCTTTTTAAGAGGTGTGTGCCTGAATGGAGTGAAGGAACACATGGCTCCTCAAGAAAGTCCCTCCCAGGGCTCTCACAATCAGAAAGGCTGACGAGACCGACTCTCAGACCCTCACAGCCACCCGGGTCACATTTTCTAGAAGCAGTTTGCTTCTGAAGTCAACTCAGGTCAAGGGCCATTATCTGGGGTTTCCTCTCATCAGCTGATTGGATGTCTCACCGGGCCTGCAGGTGAGGGGCCTCAGATGCCAGACAGGAGTACCAAGGCCACAATGGGCACAGAAGACTCGCATGAGAGCAAAGCCAGCATGGAGCCTCAGGACTTCTGTGAGAATGCACAACCCCGAGGGCTGTTCCACAGCATCAAGGTACGCATGCGCTGTTGGGCAAGGCAGGGAAGGGGCCGCCAAGCCCAGTCATGCAACTCGGAGCAAATGTCTGCCCTCTCACTTCCTCACCTTGAGGATGGGCTCCTGGGATGAGTCAGAGAAGCTCTTAGCTCGGTTCTGGGAACAAAGACGGTGAAGCAGGGTCTCCTTGCAGATGATGGGGAGATGACCCCCTGCTTCCCACTCCCTTGGAGAAATGGAGATGTGCCCCAAAGCCCTAAACTTGTGTGAATACTGGAGCTCTGGCTCCACAACAAGGGCCCTAAAGACTCTCCCAGTAGGTGTCAGAGCCTGCCGGGGTGCTGCGCACCGATCTTCTCTGTTATTGCTTCAGTGACAAGGATGGAAGTCTAGCCCTTGCACTTGCTAGGCGAGTGTTCCTCCGTGGAGCCCTACCACGGAGCCCCACCCCAGCCCTCAAGATCTGAATTCCCTCTGTAATCCTAGGGGGTGTGGCCCTTGCCCTTGTACAAAGTATTGAGCAAATGTGTTAAGCTCCTAAACACATTTGCCTAAATGCTCCAAGATTTTGGTTCTCTGAAGCAAGCGTTTGTTCCTCTAGGAATTCTGCCAGCTTTTTCTGGGCAGGCTGGGTTGTTTGGGGGTGAGGTGGGGTGGGGCAGCTTGGGGAAAGCAACCGTGTGAGAATGGGTGGGATCAGGATAAAAATATAGGGGCTGGTGTTGAAAAAGAGAGAGGAAAGACCAGCCCAACCTCTGGGGAGATGAGAGGGTCGGAAGGGCTCTGATGTTCCTGTTTTCAGTCAAGTGGGTCTGTGGTAGCACCCGTACCCCTAAGTTCTACCTTAGCTTGTCAATGAGGCTCCATGGGCTACTCCAATTAACTAACTCTTTCTCCCTCCCTCTCTCTTTTTCCCTCCTCTCATGTATCTGGCTTCCCTGACTTTGGTTACCCATCCTCTACTCCTCGCTCGTCTTTTGACCTCACTCTCCCTCTGACCCAAACTCTGTCTCTGTCTCCCTGACTCCGATGGTTCACCTGCCACCATCACCTCTTCTCCTCCAGTTCTTCGTCCTGTGCCACAGTGTACTGCAGCTGGCACAGCTCATGATCTCTGGCTACCTCAAGAGCTCCATCTCCACAGTGGAAAAGCGCTTTGGACTGTCCAGCCAGACCTCAGGGCTGCTAGCTGCCTTCAACGAGGTACTGTTCCTAGCTCCCCATCAGGAGTGCATGCTGAGGGAGTCCCATGCTCCCACTTCACTAGCCTCCTTTTTCCACCATAAACATTCCTCCCATGCCTGCATGCAGCCCTCAACACCGCCTGCTCCCCAAATCTTTCATAGTTTTCCTCTTACAGCATCACAACCCTGGCCTTCGGTTGAAGCCCAGAAAAGCCTCCTCCTGCCCTGGATTATACTAGTAGGGAAAAAGAGCCAACCATCATGCCCTTAGCAGCCCTCTGCTAAGGGACATGAGATATTTTCTAGCTTGCCAGAGTTGGGTAAACACCCACCTTTCTTGTGGTTCCTTTGTGCCTTGGGTCCTGTAGCTATCGGCTGTCCCAAGAAGGAATCACAGAAAGTCACTTGTACCGTCCCAGAGAGAGGTTTGAGTTACCTCCAGGCCCCTCTCTGACTGACCTTGGAATGACAGGAGGGAAGGATGATACTGCAGTGGAGGTCTGTCCCCAGGATGCCCTGGATCCACAGGCCCCTGCCTATGGCCCTCAGCCAGCAGGGAGAAGCTGAGCTGTACCAATCGGATTCGGTGGAAATCAGTTCTGCTGGGCCGCAGCCATCTCCCACCAGATGTTGTCTCTCTCGGGAAAGGGAAGGCTCTTCTCCCCCCAAGCCCCATAAGACTTCTGTGAAAATTCTCTTCCCTGGATAATAAGTCATATTCCTCTAGACCCAAGGCCTGGTCCACCAGCTGCACAGCGTCCCATCTCCTATCTCACATGAGGAAAAGTCAGTCTGTTTGGTAAATGGGAAGTGTCCCTGTACCCTGAAGTCAGAAGCCCACCAACCCTTGTTGATACGACTCACTCCCTTTAAAACCCTGGGAGTTCACCTATCCTGCCCCTAGATCCCTGGGATTATAAGTCTAAGACTTGAAATTCCAACCTTTAACCCCTGGTTTCAGACTTTCCTTTGTCCCTCTCACTCTTGAGGCCCCCGGAGCTCCGAATCCCTTCCCTGCCCACCCCACTCCAAACTGAACTTGACCACACAGCTTTGTCCTTCCTTTTCTCCTCTGAAAAGTCAATGGGACCACTCCCTTTCCTAAGAAAGGGAAGAAGGCTAAAGTCTGTATGTTGTCATCAGTTTAGTGTTGTGTTTGTTGTTGAAATAGGGTCTCGCTATGTAGCCCAGGCTGGCCTTGAATTCCCTGCTGTCCTCCTGCCTCACTTACTCTCTGGAGTATTTGGACGGTAGGCACGAGCCATCATGCCTGGCTCAGAAGCTCCATTGCAAACATATCCAAATGTTCTTATTCAAACCAGCCAGTCCAGTGCGCACATGGGAACACTGAAGTTAGCCGCAGAAAGAATGATATAGGCCGTCAGTCTCCGACTCTGCCCCGCTTTGGCTGACATTTCCTCCCTTTGCAGGTAGGGAATACATCCTTGATCTTGTTCGTGAGTTACTTCGGCAGCCGAGTACACAGACCCCGTGTGATTGGCTGTGGGGCTTTCGTGGTGGCTCTGGCAGGCTTGCTCATGGCGCTCCCACACTTCATCTCGGAACCATACCGCTATGACCACAGCAGCCCTGGTGAGAGAATGGGCAAGAGATGACTGAGGAACTTCAATCCTGAGTAAGGGGTCCATTCCCAAGCCTGCTTCCAGGATGGGTATCACTGTCCAGTGGCCCTGATGGTCCGCCCTTCCTCACCCCAGTTCCTGTTAGGAAGGGGAGCTGCAGGGCAGAGGTCAAATCTTCTAGTCTTCCCTGGGTAAGGGAATACTCATATGTCTCTGTGGAGTTTTGAGGTGGGAGTGAATTTCTGACATAGCCTGCTTTAGGGCCTGGCACACAGACACCCTTAGGGGGAGTCTGTAGAATAAAATGGCAGCATCATCCGGTGCTTCCTGGATGCCGCACATAGTTTGAAGCATTTTGTGTTTGTGCATTTGATTCTCATTCAAGACAGAGGAGCCAGGCTTGGAGGAACACATTAGCAGTTGGGAGGTAAAAGCAGAATGATATGGGGTTCTAGGCCATCCAGAGGCCAGCCTGAGATGCCTGAGACCCTGTCTCACAAAGAAGAAGAAGAAAAAAAAGAATCAATGCTTGAATGAGTAGATGAATATAGTAAAAAAAAAAAAAAAAGATGAGATTTTGTTGAGAGCCCATTTGAAAATTAAAGATGTCCCTTAGAGCAAGTAGCCTGAGTATTCACTATCCTCTCCTCATGCATCCATCCACACATCCATCCATCCATCCATCCATCCACACATCCATCCATCCATCCATCCACTCATCCATCCATCCA